TCATTTCAAGATGGGATCTCCCTGTCACTTGGTACATTGTCCTGTCTGTCTGAGCCAAGATTGACCACTCGGGCTGGTGGAGTAGCTCAAGTGGTAAGAGTGCTGGCCAAGCAAACACAAGGCCCTGAGTTCAAGCCCCAGTGTCACCAATAAAAAAGAATAATGATCACAAGATTGACTACTCAGTGCTGGAGTCCCATACATTTCTGGCTTATTATAGTCCCCAAAGTAGGAGCAAGAGTAACACTACCTGCTCTTCCTCCTGTGGTATCTAAACAGTCATGTTGTCAGTCGTCCCAAGACCAGCTCTTGTTCCTGGTATCCTGGTTCCAAAAACTGGATCATTTTCTTTGGTCCACTCCTACCTTCTGCAGAAGTCTGCTACTGTATCTGTATTCTTCATTCTTATTCCATCTGCCTCTTTTTTTTTTTTTTTTGTCAACTTTCTATCACTCCTAGGAATGTGGGGTGAGAGATGGAAAGAATGCCACATCTCTTCGGTACACTACCTTGAATCAGTAGCTATATTCACTTATGCATTAGAAATGAGAAACCTGGGCTGGCAGAGTGGCTCAAGTGGTAGGGCACCTGCCTTGAAAGCATGAGGCGGTGAGTTCAAATCCTAGTGCTACCAAAAATAAATAAGAAATGAGAAATTTGCACAGCATTCAACAGGACTTTCCCTGCTGTCAACACCAACTAACATTAATTGAAAGACTTACTGTCACCTTTTAAAACTTCCTACAAAATAAAGTTTATTAATCAAAAAAATTTGTCAGCACAAATGAATATATGGTATTTACTAATTTATCCTTTACTAAAAATATTATGCAGTAAGCATTACTATTTTTCCCAGTTTTAAGATGAGGGTACAGATTAAGAAACATGTCCTACTCAGGTACCTGGGAGCCAAAGGTCAGGAGGATCATGGTTTGAGGTCAGCCCAGACAAAAAGTTAGTGAAATCCCATCTCAACAAACAAAGCTGGGCTTAGTGGTATACTCCTGTAATCCCAACTATGTTGAAGGCATAAATAAGAAGAACACAGTCCCAGGGCTAGCATAGGCAAAAAGCATGAAACCCTATCTGAAAAATAACTAAAGCAAAAGGGAGTTGGGGTGTGGCTCAAGTGGAGAAAGCCTGCCTACCAAACACAAGGCCCTGAGTTCAGTTCTGCCCCACCCCCCCAAAAAAAGAGGGAGGAACAAAGAGAAAAGAAAACAAATATAGCCTAATTGTGCTTCAGAGTTATACACACCAACTCACACAAAGCTGGTCTGTCACAATAGCCTACACTCTTAATAACACTTCCATGTTGGCATACCCAGAAGATTGTAGAGCTCATCCTTCTACATGGTGAGGAAGGGACTCCAAATGTCGCTGACAGCTCTGTACTGTACGAGGCCATATTTCCATCCATTCACTCAATCAGAATGACTTGGTCAATACTTGGAACCATACATTATTTCTTCACACCAGGAAGAATAGTTACAATTTCTTTATTTTGCTTTGCTTTTATAATCTTTGCAACTCTTTTTCCTCACTATAAAAGATTTGCATATGATATATATATATATATATCTTAAATATATTTATGATCCAGAAAGATGTCTCAGTTATGCCTCTTTCCCTTACTAGCATATCCCCACAATCATAAATAATAAACTTCCCTAAGACAAATGAAAAAACTCTTGTCTTTTTTCTCTAGGCAAAGGATTAGAATTCAAGTTTTCCTGGTTACCTTCTCCTGCTCAGATATTTAAGAGTAATTTCCATGGGCAAAGTTGTGCCTCAAGTGCCAGAGCATCTACCTAGCAAGCATGAGGCCCTGCTTTCAAACTTCAGTACTGCCAAAAAATAATGCATAAAAATAATTTCCATGACCTATTCTCTTGATACTAATATGAAAAAATATGAAAACCAGATTCCAAATACCTGGAATGACTCAAATTATGTCTAATCCCAGCACTCAAGAGGCAGAAACAAAGGATTGCAAGTTCGAGGCCAGCCTGGGCTATGTAGTAAGATGTTGTCTCAAAAAGTATTTAATGAAGTATTTTTTTTCTGAAAGCATTGATATGAAGTCTTACAATCATCATCTGATAGAAATTTAAGAATATTTGCCTTTAAAGAGGACTAGTAACAGATACTATACAGCCTTTTGTTTCTAAATTCATTTTTTTCCCTATTGGGTCACAAAGCAGATACTTGAAGGTTAGACAGAATCAAAGGCCCTAAGTAAACTGTGGAAATGCTTTATTGGATGATGTCTTTGGAGTTCTTATGGCTCCAATGCAAGATATTTGGGGAAGTGACACTCCAACCACCCACTGGGAGAGAAATGCATTCCAGAGGTGCAGTGGTGCTCCATTACTACTTACTCTTACTACTGACGGGAGAAATACGGATTAAATATTTACAGTGTCCCAGTCATGGTACTACATACTTTAAGTTCATTGTCTTACTTAATCCTCATATCTAGCCTAAAAAATAGATTCCATTAGTTTTCTTATTTTCACAGAGAAATTGAGATCAGAGAAGAAACTTTCTCAAGGTAATTGAGAACGCAGAGCTGACACCCATTACCACTATGGTACACTGCCTTCTCAGCAAGTACTGTGTCCATGCTAAGGAGAGAAAGGGGCAAAGTGGAAAGAGGAAAAATAGTTGTTGTGGATGTTGCAGATCCAGCTCTGAGCTTGACCTTAAGAATGACTTCCAACCTCAGGTTCCTCTGAGCTGCCTGCAGCATGATATGCCTGTGGAGGAGCCTGTGGGAGCTATGGTCACGTGTGTTCCTCCTTTTACTGACTTCTGTATCCAGGTAAGGAGATCTTGTCAGAACCAAGGAACAATACAGAATGAGTTTGAGTGGTGTTAGAACCATCATGATCCTCAAACCAGCGTAAGCCACTGTGTGTTTAAGGACCCCCACCTAAGCTGACTCAGAAATAGAATGAAGGCCAGGGCAGACATTAACCATGCAGAAACTCCTAAAAGAGTCAAGGAATTATAAACAGGTTAGTATTAGAAGGAACCTTGAGGATAACACAGAAGGTGACTGTGAGACGCGCATGAATTAAGATTTCCTGATGATCAATCAGGCTGAGCATCACTGACCACCATCCCTATCATGAGGCTAATACCTTCCTTGGTTCTGACACGATCTCATCATTTCAGTCATCTTTGCCTGACCTCTTGTCGGGCAGTCAGCAGAAAAAAAGCTAGGGAAAGGAACTCAAATGAGAATCTAAAATTCCCAGTGATAGAAATTACAGCAGCAAAATGTATACAACTTTTAATTGGACATAAATTTGAATTCCTTCATTGTAAAGCTGTTAATAAAATTCATCTTAAGCACAAAGGTCTCCATGTAAATTCAAGACATAGCAAGAATAGCTTAACTTTTCTTTTTTCTTTTTCTCTTTCTAGCAGCACTGGGCTTTGAAGTCAGGGCCTCCAGGCACTTTACCACCTGAGCCCCACCCCAACCCAGAGACTAGCTTAATTTCAAATCTCGGGTGTGCCGGTACACACCTGTAAACACAGCACTTGGGAAGTGGAGGCAAGAGAATCTCAAGTTCAAGGCCAGCCCTACAGAGTAAAACCTTCACCAAAAAAACAAACAAAAAAGATTACTTGCAAAGCTTGTCAAGTAAATTGTAAACTAAGATTTTCCTGTTGCTCAAACAGTATGTTCATTTGGCAAAAGAAAATTCCACTGGCTTTTGACAGGATGAGTCTTGCATTATTCAAGTTTTGAACCAAGTCTTCAGAAATTCATTCCACATATTAGCTGTGGCCTTCTCCACTCATCCTTAAGTTGTTTCTCAGAGTATGTGACACAAGGGCTCTGACACTAACACAGAACCCACAGAAGCTCTAACATGTGAAGACCTAACATGTAGGCACCAAATACAGATAATTCCAAAATCTATTAAACTACACACACACACCTGAGAACACTAAAACTCAACTTCTCCGGGCCCCACACCTCCAACCTGACTGAATCAGGCTTCAAGGAGAGGCAGCTGGAACTGTTTAATAAGAATCAGGTGCTTCTTACAATCAAGAAAGTGTCACAGAACCAGGACAAGGTCCTTACCTGGGAAGAGTGTTCTGTGGAGAGTGACCTGTAAAGGGCCACAGTGAGACTATGCAGCATTCAGTTTTTACCAAGTAAAAAGTAGTAATAGGTTGGGTAGGGTTGAGGCAAGGTTTGACTAAGATGACTGAATTCTGAAGGATAGAGGAGGTCCTTGAGCCCTGGGTCTCTCAGAAACCAACTATATTATGAGCCAGGGAATTCTTTGTTGTGGGGGACTGCCCAGTGTATTATAGGATGCTTGGCATTCCTGACCTCTGCCCATTAGATGCCAGTAGCACCCCTCCCACCTCGTACAATAAAAAATATCTTCTGGTATTCCCAAATGTCCCAGGGGAGTGGGTGCAGTCTAACTTAAAGTCGAGGGGATGGGTAGGTCAGAACTTAGGGGCAGACAGACAAAAGCGTATGAGTTTGTGGCATGCTTAAAGGTAAAAAGGTTAAAACACTAAGTAAACGAGAAAGGGGAGGGAGGGAGAGACTGAAGGGTTTCATCTGTGCACCTGCACTAACAAGCCCCCAGCTTATTAATTTGAGAAACAAGACTTGTGTCTGTAACAGTACAGAAGAGATAGGCAGCCCTGTTCCCATTTCCTTCCCTCATCCCCGGCCCTTCGCCAACGGTGGTCAAGCCATTTTCTCCGGTATTGGTTGCATCAAGACAGCAGGGACATCATGAAGCCTAAGCGTTTGCTCACAGCAACGCCGCTTAGCTACGTGACGCTGCTAGACTGATTTACAGAAAGGCTTACCTAGCTCTAAACGGAAACGAGTTTTGCCTAAGCAAAACCTAATTAATAGCGTATACAGCTCTTTCTCTGATAACTGAGGTGGCTCTGAAAAGAGCCTTTGGGGTTAAGGTAGTTGATCTGTCGCGCCTCTTGTGCACCCTTACTTCGAGCTGGTGTACTTGGTGACGGCCTTGGTGCCCTCGGACACGGCGTGCTTGGCCAGCTCCCCGGGCAGCAGCAGGCGCACGGCCGTCTGGATCTCCCGGGACGTGATGGTCGAGCGCTTGTTGTAATGCGCCAGGCGGGACGCCTCGCCGGCGATGCGCTCGAAGATGTCGTTGACGAAGGAGTTCATGATGCCCATGGCCTTGGACGAGATGCCGGTGTCGGGGTGCACCTGCTTTAGCACCTTGTACACGTACACCGAGTAGCTCTCCTTGCGGCTGCGCTTGCGCTTCTTCCCATCCTTCTTTTGCACTTTCGTAACAGCCTTTTTCGAACCCTTTTTGGGAGCAGGAGCAGATTTCGCTGGATCCGGCATTTTTCCACCGCTCGAAGAAGCAACCACAAACTAAAAAGGGAAGCGCCGATTCCAACAGAAGGGGCTGGTAACGCGCTACTTATAGAGCTTGTATGCAAATGAAGGCTCTCGCAGCAGTACGCTCCTTACTGGTTAATTTTCAATAATCGTCATAGAAGGGTGGAGCCCACGTAAATAGATACTGGTTGTGCTTCTTTAGTGGCCCTTAAAATGAAAGTCTCGTTAGCCAATCAGAATGCTTCATTTCTCATTAACCAGTAAGTTACGTAGAGATAGCGTCACCAATTTTTAATACATATGAAATAATGGTCGTACCCAGCAGCCCATACATTTAAAGACCGCCACCTCACCTTCCTTTGCACCTGTAATAGCGAATGCCCAGTTTAAATTCCAAGCAAACCAGGAAGTTTGCAATTTAAAAGGGACTTGCCTCCAGCCCTGAGCTCAGGAATTTACACATCTCAGTATTCTCTTGCCTGTTTCCCCTCATCTTAACTAGCATGTAAGTGCACTTAATCGTAACCGCCTAATACGTTCTCCCACACAACTAGCGTTTAGGATCGTGAGCTTTCCCAAGGCGCTTACAGCGGTGCATTTAACACCAACTTCAGCTTGCACAGCTGCTCTTAGTGAGAGCGTAGGTGGCTCTGAAAAGAGCCTTTAGGTCTACTACTTAAAAGAGTGCAATTTAAGCCCTCTCCCCGCGGATGCGGCGGGCCAGCTGGATGTCCTTGGGCATGATGGTCACACGCTTGGCGTGGATGGCGCACAGGTTCGTGTCCTCGAACAGGCCCACCAGGTAGGCCTCGCTCGCCTCCTGCAGCGCCATCACGGCCGAGCTCTGGAAACGCAGGTCGGTCTTGAAGTCCTGCGCGATCTCGCGCACCAGCCGCTGGAACGGCAGCTTGCGGATCAGCAGCTCGGTCGACTTCTGGTAGCGCCGGATCTCGCGCAGGGCCACGGTGCCCGGCCGGTAGCGGTGCGGCTTCTTCACGCCACCCGTGGCCGGCGCGCTCTTGCGAGCCGCCTTGGTGGCCAGCTGTTTGCGCGGGGCCTTGCCGCCGGTGGACTTGCGAGCGGTCTGCTTGGTGCGGGCCATATTTTCTCTAGTTTCAGTGAGAGACTGTGCGGTAGTTCTATTTATAGACGTATGCTCGTCTTGATTGGTCCAGAGAAGAGGACTTTCTAGGTTTGTGTTCTCATTGGATAGAATTCAATCCCATTTCCTGACCAGAAGATGGCTAAGCTAGCCTTGCCTTGTTCTTTCCCTCTTCCCCCTTCTTTTTCTGCAATTTATGGATCATGGATATATATATATTTTTTTAACGACCTTTTAAAGGAAAGATGCTTTAAATTGATATAACTTTGTAAAAGCAATTTATAGTGAGTGTTTTGCATACTTTATATCTTAGCAGGTTTCTTCTGAAAACAAACATGCTCTGTTTGTTTCATGTTTGTTTCAGTTTATTTGAAGTTACCTGTTACTATAACTCTTCTCCCATAGCTAACATCTATTTAGCGTCTGGCACAGTGTTCAGCACTGTAGATACTTTATATGATGAATGAAACATAACCAAACAACATGTAACGGAAGTAATAAAAAAATTACATTTACTTTTACCTGATTTTTAAACCTGACCAAAGCCCCATTTTATCTGCGTATGCTGAGCAACTTGGTACTTAGAGCCTCTGCCTTCCTTTTCCTGTCTGCCCCTACATGAAAGGCCAATTAGATCCTGCTGATGAAACTCTGCTATGTTAATGAAGGATAAGACCAGAAATATTAATTTGTCCTTTATATTATTTTTTTCCTTTACAATAGTAAATAATTTCTTAACAGGTAAATATCAAGCCAGATGATAAAGTTTCAAAGTAAATAAATTATTCATTGATTACTGGTTGCTAACATTTTCTTCAACTAAGATCAAATATTTTGTAATTCTTAAAAGTTTAATATTTTCTATGTTCTCCCCAACAGTGAAGATCCTGCCTTTAGCTATTTCATATGCCTTGAAGTATTCCTCAGGAAAGTGCATGTCAAAAGACAGTGGTTATGTAAAGAGTACTGATAATATGAAAGTTGTACTAGCTAATATAAAACTTTTAATTGCATGCTTGTTTCATTAATAAAAGCATTACATACAAACCTTATACTCAAACCTAAGAACAAAAGTAGTCCAAACACACTTAAAACTTTCCTTGATGGTGTTAGTACAAATTATCTTCTTCCTGCTGAAACCAAAATAAATAAAACTTATTTTAAGGGGGTTTCCTGAACGCTAAACACATGGAAAAACTTGTAAGCTTAATATCTTTATGGGTCCCTCATGGGCAGATGCAACCTCCTCTAAGGAAATCTAAAACGACATAAAAGTATAACTGTGTGAATAAATGTTATCCATTCCTTTGTTGGTTTTGTAATAACGCCTTACATACAGAGGGCACTACTCAGTGTTTAAAAATTCCACCTACACTATATTATTTAATACTGATTTTGTGAAATAGATGTTATTTTTATCACTATAAAGTGATAAGAAGCTAAGTCTCTGAGAACTTATAGCTTATTCTGTGTAGTAAGTTTTTAAAGTCTACATAATATTTTAAAGCAAAACAATGAAATTATAATGGTGAATTTCCTCTTTCATTAGGCTTACCATGTACATTTGAAGCATAGAAGCATCTTTGCCTCATGCAATCAAATAATCCAGTGTTTCTCAAACTTCTCTGATTAAACTTTCCCATCAGAATTTACCCTCCATAAGTTCTGGATGGCAGCTCACCCAGGTCTCTTCTTTGCAATATTCTTTCTTTATGATATGCACTTCTGACCATAATGTATGCATGTGTTCATTTAAATCAGAAAAAGTTCTCAAACTCTATTCAGGAATCTCCCATTAGCTGAGATTTCAATTTCTGCCATCAACCATGGTCAGGAAATATTAAGTGGAAAATTCCAGAAATGAACAAATCATAAGATTTTCACTGTATGGCCATTCTGAGTATTATGATGAAATCTCATGCTGTCCAATCTAGGACATGAATCATATCTCTTGTCCAGTATGTACACATGACCTACCCATTAGTCTTGGTAGCAGCTTCCATTAACAGATGAACTGTCAAAGGCATCACAGTGCTTGTGTTCAAGTAACCTTTCATTTTACACAATAATGGCCCCAAAGTGTAAACTTTTATTATTTTTATTATTATTTATTGTTAATCTCTTATTATGCCAAACTTATAAATTAAATTTAGGAAAAATAAAAAATAAATAAATAAATAAATAAATAAATTAAATGTAGGAAAAAACAGTAGCTTATATAGGTTTAATATTATCAAAATACTAGTAGTTTAGTAACTACTAACTACTATTAGTTCAGTAGTCTCAGGTACCCACAAGAGATCTTGGAACATATCCTCTGAGGGTAAGAGGAAACTGCTATATTAAAATTTAGAATCCAAGAGTTACTGGATTTATTTTACTCTTATAACATTAAAGAATAAGAAAATTCCAAGACTATTCCCCTGGCTTAATTTTTTTTAAGCTTATAAGAATTTTTGCTTCTCAGAAAACAGGGATGTCAATTCAAATATTATCTCTAGGGCAACAAATTAAATAAGACAATCAATCAGAGTAGTAAACTTTCCAAGGTTATACATAACATTTCTCAGAATACAATAATTTCCAAGGTGTGGTTGTCTTAGAAATGTCTGTCTTTAATAACAGAATTCAGATCCAGATTCAATTTCACCTCCTCCCCACATCGACCACTACTACAATAGCTTTCCTATGAAAGTTCTCAATCTACCATTTTCTCAGAAGCAGATTTATGATACAGCAGAACCATAGCTTTTCTGAAGCTGTGGGGGAAAAGGAATATTTTGCCTCCAAAAATTTCTGAATTCCTTTAATCAGAAATTATAAGGGCCTGCAATTTAAAGAGAGAAAACTGGAATTTCATTAGTTATCAGGGGTAGGATGCTGTTGCGTGACAAACTTAAAATTTTCCATACAGGAGATAAGAAAGCAAAGTTTAAGGAATGAATTATTAGACATCTAGTGTTTTGTGTGTATTTATCTGTTTATTTTTTAATACAAAAGTAATGGACCAAGTTAAAGTAGATGTTACAGGAGGACAGTTTGTGTTAGGTTTTTGGCTTCAAGTGGCCCAGAATTATATATATTCCCAAGTAGGGCCATTTGAATTTTTGGTTTGTAGGTTGGTTAGGCCTTGTGCCTGATTTGGTTTCATCTTAAGTAATCAGCAGCCTAAACCAAACTGAAAAACCATAGGAGTTTGAGCTTCTGTTCTTACCCTACTATGAGATAAATTCACTCCTTCAATATCCCATCATGGATAAAGCTTAGCACCATTCTCCTTTCTACTAGTCTTTCATGGTTACTGCCTATACTCTACAGCTTAGAATTTACACAATTCCTGGCTTTATTATAAAACACATTCCGCTACAATTGAGTAACATATTTCACAAAATTCAAAGTAATATCAATATAAAGTGTTAGCTACATTTTGCAGAAGTGTTAAGGAGTATATATTTTAAGGAATGTATTTCTATATGAATTGTAGGGGGAAGAATAAATTTTTCTTCAAGCCCCCACAGATTCTTAATTGGAATTGACCACCATAACAAAAGATAGATCAAGGCAACTTTCTTTTTTATATGGCATTCTCCCAAGATGGGTGGTTACAATTTGGACTCTATGTGCCTAACTTAATAGGAGAACAGGAGAGGAAAGAAGGAACACTTGCAGAAACGCAAATGATTTTTTCTTTTGGAAAAATAAATAACCCTTAGAAGAACTGATGGCAGATATGATTAGTCCTGTGACAATGTCTATCTAGATGTGGTACCAATTTCTCAACTCTGAAAAAGAGAAAGAGTTGCCCCCACAGACTTACAACTAAGTAAAAAGGTTGAGTTCTTTGCGAGTTTTTACTTTTGGAAGGATCGTGGATTTCAGGAACTTAAATGCTTTCAGTTCCAAATGATTCTTATGCTCAAAGTGGCATGTTTGGGGTAGCACATCCTTCAAAAAGGAAGTGCCCAGACATTGCCTCTGATTCTGCCTAAGGTTCTGTCCCCTCTAACACCAAAAATGTCACTTCTGTCAGCCTTAGCTGTGGTTCTTCCATCTTGTTGCAATGTGGTTATGTCTTTCGTACTAGATTTAAAAGTACTCAAGTACAGAAGCTGTTCATTCCATTGAGTTTATACTAGACACTGAGCTGAATGTCAGTTTATCAAGAATAAATTAAAACCACTTCTAGTAAGGAACACATCAGGAGGTGGGAGTGGGTAAGATACAAAGAGAAATAAAATAAATGTGATAGTCTTTAAGCTGCTAAGCATCAGAAAAGAACAAGTGTGTTTCACTGGCCAGAAGCAGCTAAGGAAGAGGAAGAGGTGCTGTGTACTGGGTATTGGCTTGGGCACGTAGTCATGTAGATGCAGTCACAGAGGCACCATTCCGAGGACAGACAAGAAACCCAGGCTTATGGGGGGAGGGGAAGAAGTGAATACACACACACAGTCACACCTTGGAAATTTTTTAAAGTTTAAACATTTGATCTTTTGGAGATATTGAGCCTTGAGTTTAAAATGACTCCAGCTACCAGATGGGTCTCCATGTCTGGATCCTAGCGGTTTGGATAAAGACGCGAATCCACCTGCATATCTGAAGGAGCACTAACGCAGAGACCAAACAGGGCACATAAAGCTTTTTTTTAAATAGGCATTTTTCAGAAACACACCCCCCTTTCTGATGCAGAAACCAGAACATTTTCTCGTGGATTCTTCAATAGAGGGTTCTGGTAAAGTAATGAACAGGCTAACTGTGAAGAATCCAATTTCATAGGGCAATTTCTGGTGGCGACTCTCGATATGAAGTAGATGTCTTCTTGCAAAATCTACTTCAGCAAACGTTACTACCTCTCTGGGGAGGGGGCTCAAGGGAGGCAGTTTGGGCACCAAACCCTGGCTGCAAACAAGAGCAGATTTTAGAGGAAGTGCAAAAATGGATGTGCGTATCTCTGCCTCCTCTGTGTGGTGTACACTGCATTGAGCTTTGGACGATGGTGCGCTGGAATTCCATAACCTCCGTGAGAAGGATCTGACTTCTTCCTGAACTGAAATAGCGTGCTTAGTACCAACAAAACAGCCACTAGAGACAGAAATTACAGCGAACTTGCCCGCTCGCTCTCCTGCCCCTTCCGCACACACCCAGGCGCCGCCGATCTAGGGCCTGTCAAGCCAAACAATGATCGGGACACATCTGGCTGCAGTTTTAAGTAATTTCACCATGGGTGGGAATCCTCTGGTCGGGAAAGGATTAGATCCGGCGGTAGTGCTCTCTCCTTCCCAAATCTGAACCCCATTTTCTCTTCCGCTTAGCCTCGATTTAATGTCTTCCAGAGCCCACAGACTGAGGCAGAGACGTAAAGGCTGCGGAAACTGGTAGCTTCGTATTAGGATCCGAATTCTCCCAGGGACTATTAAAACTAAAAAATAAAGGCAAGAGTCTCAGGGTCCTGTAGGGGTACAGGAGAAAGAGAAGAAGAAAAAAAAGAAAGAAATGACGTAATGTTGAAAGCCGGGACTGTAGAGAAAACTTCCCGCCCGCGCGCTTTCAGTTCTCAATCTGGTCCGGGCCTCTTGTATATCAGCGGGCTGCCGCCAGCGCCGTGCCACACGCTGTCATCTGGCTGCACAGTCATGTCTGGGAGAGGAAAGGGTGGGAAAGGCCTAGGAAAGGGGGGTGCCAAGCGCCACCGGAAGGTTCTGAGAGACAACATCCAGGGCATCACCAAGCCCGCTATCCGGCGTCTCGCTCGGCGCGGGGGAGTCAAGCGCATCTCCGGCCTCATTTACGAAGAGACCCGCGGCGTGCTGAAGGTGTTCCTGGAGAACGTCATCCGGGACGCTGTCACCTACACCGAGCACGCCAAGCGCAAGACGGTCACCGCCATGGACGTGGTCTACGCGCTCAAGCGCCAGGGCCGCACCCTGTACGGCTTCGGAGGCTAAGCCGCCGGCGCCGCTCTGGCTTTGTTAGTTCCAAAGGCCCTTTTTAGGGCCAACCACGTGGTCATTGGAAGAGTTGACACTCTGGCTTCTGGGCCTGGCTGTGGAGGTAGGACTCGACTCAAACACAATGCAACAGAGTTGGGTTTCTATTCTGCGCTGATCTGTTCCTTAGGAACCTAGGTGTTTCAAGAGCAGCGAAATAATGTACAACGCTGGCTTCCCTGTAATCTCACTAATAGCATTTCAAAGGGAATTAATCTTGCTTCCTTGGTTTTAACAAAAGTGATGGATCCTCATTTGCTCAGCAAAGTAAAAAAAACCCTATGGAGACGTGGTCAAGAGACACCAGCTCTGCCAACCGATCTGTTTGGGGTTCGTCAGTTAACGTTTTCTGGCTTCATTTTTCACCACTATACAAGAAGCAGGGAACCAGATTTCTTAAACGGCACTGTTCACATTAGACATTGTTTTGGGACATGTGCTCTGCTCACATCTGACAAAGGTGAGAGCTCACCACTTAAAACTAAAGGATAGGTTACTTAATCAGAGATATATTGTTGGTAAGTTCTCTAATATTTCTGGAGATTTTATCTGGACAGTCCGTGAGCAGTATTCCTGGCTTCCTGTGTTCAATAGGCAAGGACCTTTCACTGGTGGCAACGCAAGGGGTCAGATGAAGAGACGTTTTAATGTTCTATAGAAACTGAGCAAACTGTAGCATCAACTTATTGGAAGCAAGCCTTCCAATAAAACAAAAAATCCAGGTGTGTGACTTGTATTTGTTAGGGCCTGTTGCAGTTTAGAATGAGAGACCTGTAGGAACATGCCTACCATTGATAAAGAAAATGCAATTTAGTTTTGACAAGGGAACAGCAAATTATTCCAGATCAGCACAACAATACAGTAAACCATTCTCTATAGCACTCTGTGCTTTACAGGTGATTCTGATACACTTTAGTATAACAACCATGATCTAAGTAACAGTTTTTCTTTAAATGAAACAAGAGTATTTAGAATCTAAAAGTATGTTGTCCCAGTTAGCTTACAAAAATGTTAAATTTTGCTTTTTTCCATGGAAAAGAAAGCAGGTGGATGATCCTAATAAATTTTATTTTATTTAGAAAAAATTTAGGAGGAAAAAGGTAAAGTAGTCTTACTTTCTCAAAGCACTTGGAGCAAACATAAAACACATATGAATGAAAAAGGTAGTTACCTTGTTTTACTAAATATTGCTTTGTATGTTTAATAGTACAGAATAGAATTTTGTAATCAATGGATATGGTTCTTTTTCTTCCTAAATTTATCCAAGATCCAGGCTTTACACCATTACACAGCTTTTTATACTTCTTTTTAAAGTGACTTTAATATTCATCTTTGCTCCCACCTTTCCAATCTCACAAGTATTATTATATGGTACGGGTTATCATCTGTTAGCTATGCCCGGCCTCTAAATATTGCCAAATTATAGAATCTGTAGTTAGGCATCTTTTTGCACCAATAAATGCTTTTTTCTCTTAGCTCTAACAACAAGGAATATAATGCTATTTTTAACCACCCAAAACAGTGAGGAAAAAAATCTATTTTTCTCTCTTTGGTTTGCTAACAAAATAATTTCCTTCCCATTTCCACCTCTAAGAGCTCTCCATGAGCCAGCCACTGGCTGTAAGCAGAATGTTACTAGTACATGTAAATATGGATGTATAGAGAATTATTAGGAAAAATTTAAGAATGCTTTATAAGCTTTTTGGGTTTTATTTTCTTCTTTGAATACTTCTGAATTGTTTGAATTTCTTAAAATAAGAATGAAGTTTCTCAAAAAAAAAATCAGATGATAGTCTAGACCACCTAATCCAGTTCTTACTTGCTCTATAATCACTGGGGGAGAGAAGAAGTTACTATAGCCAGAATTTAGACAGCAAAGGAGGCAGTAGGTAAAGATGGGATATGAACAGGTTATCAGGGTCAGACTTTTCAGGATTAGAGAAGAAATAAAGCCATTATAAAGACCAAAGAGCCTCAGCGCACTTGGCTGTTATAATATGTTAAATGTATTGTTTAAGAATATTTAAGCCAGGCATAGTGGCTCATGTCTGTAATTTCAACTACTTGGGAGGCCTGAAAACAAGAGACCTAGCCTACAAATTGCTACCTAAAAATAGCACTGAGTGCTGAAGAGGGCTGAAGGGGTGGCTCAAGCAGTAGAGGCCCTGAGTTCAAAGCACAGTACCACCAAAAAAAAAAAAAAAAAAAAAAAAACTATTCTCAGAACACACCAAAAAGTAAATATTAACCCATTTTACAAAGGAAGAAACTGATGTATGTGCTGTTTAAATAACTTGGCATTCTCTAACACACAAAGATGCTCCTGAATTGAACTAAAATATTTGTCTTAAAGATTTGCAGATCAAACATAATCTGAGTATCTATTAATAAACTTGTGATATGTATTTAATAGAACCATGGAATACTAGTGCTGCAAAGAACCTAAGAAATTATTGGCTCCAATTTTCTCATATTTTTCTTCTGGTTTCAGGATAAAAATTCTTAACTTCCTGTTGCCATCAGATCCCTAAGTGGCACGGATGTTTATTTGCCAGGAACCTGTCCTTGGAGTCACCTCTTATGCCATTGCCAGTTGCCACTTCTTGACCTGAAGTGAATTCTAGGAATGCCTCCTCCGGGGCCAGCGCCTGTCCCTACGAAGGTGATATACTCCATCTTCCTCCCAGGCACTCAGGCTTAGAGACTCAGAATCATCCTTGATTACTTTTTGCCTCAACAGCCCCTTTCTGTCCTTTCCCCCATCTGGGTTCAGACAAGCTTCTATGTGCAATAGTCAACAGTTTCCTTCCTGCATTCTGCTCCGGCTAGTACCCTGTTCTTATTCTTAGTCCTTCTCATCTGCCATTGCCCCGAGGCGCAGACTTGTACTCCTTCCTGTACAGGGTCCTTCCAGATTTTTTTGCACTCCCTTTCACTTATTTTTTTTTTTTGGGAGGGGGGGGCGGGTAATGGGGTTCGAACTCAGAGCCTCACACTTACTAGGCAGGTGCTCTACCATTTGAGCCACTTCAGCCCTTTTTTGTGTTGGGTATTTTTGAGATAGTGTCTCATGAACTATTCATCTGGGCTGGCCTTGAACCATAGCCCTCCTGATCTCTGCCTCCTGAGTGGCTAGGATTACAGGTGTGAGCCACTGGCTTCACTTATTATCATTCTTCATACTCAGCTTTGATGGAGTTACCACCCACTTAAAGCACCATCCCCTATTGTTTTTCTTTTCTTGTTCTCTTTCAGCCTTATTTCCGGATCTTTTCCCATACTCCCCCCAAAAATTCTAAATTTAAAGTATTTTTTGTTTCTGTGTATAATTATAAAATATATCAATGTACTTTATTTCAATGTCATTTCATTGGTTACCTTTCCTTCAGAACTGTGTTTTTAAGACCCGCCTTTGAAGACTGAGGATGTGGCTTAAATGGTAGAGTACCTATCTACTAAGCACAACGTCTTAGTTCAAACCCCAGTCCCAACAAAGAGCAAAACAAAACAAAAACACTTGTCTTTGTTGTTAGGTGCTGCTACAGTTTGAATGTAGTCCCCTCCCCACCAGGGGAAATTCATATATTGAAACTTGACAGCCAACGTGGTGGTATTAATAAGTAGGGGCTTCACTAGTGATTAAGTCATGAGAGCAGAGCCTTCATGAATACCATTAGTGGGTTGCAGGGTTGCAGCCTATCAATCTAGAAGACAGGAAGCAGTATCTTTTTTTTCGTAAGATGGAATAGGATTGAAAATATCAAGATGTATCCAAGTAAAAAATATATCATTTTGTACAACTTGTTTCACTTGGAGTGTATAAATATACAGTAGGTAGTAATATAAAATGTGTAACTTGCTGTAATCTGTAGTAACAGAAATCAAAGCTATTGCTGACTTCACGGTATACTGCATGTACAGTTTTCTGAAACAAGGACTCTAAATATAAAAAGAAAAACAAAACACAAGACTCAGGATTAAGTTCCATCTCTGCCATATTTTGGCTGCATGATTCTCTTCTCTACCTTACCAGGTTTACTTTCTTCATCTATTCAATAGATGGGTATAGCCTTCCTTCTGCCCAGAACCATGATGAAATCAAGTGAGAGGAGGTGAGTGAATGATGATTTATAAGCCACCTAGGAACCCAGGTATCCTTATGTCTGAGCCACAGTCTAGAAGCTGGTCCTATATCTAAAATTATTCACCAAGTCACACGGCATAGTGGTTGATACCTATAAATCCAGCTGCTCAGGAGGCAGTGACAAGAGGATTGCAAGTTCAAGGCCAGCCCAAAGATATTAGCAACATCCATCTGAAAAACAAAACTTAAAAAAAAAGGCCTATAACTGTAGCTCAAATGGTGACATGCTTGCCTTTTTGTTTTATCATTCTCTTTCTTTCAATACCATGACTTTAATTGGAATTTATATCAGTTAATATTGATGTCATTAATATTAATATCATCACTGTTAAGGATGCCATCAGTACCTATTTGTTGCCACATGTGAGGCCCTGTTCTAAGTATTTTGTGTGAACTACAATTATCTCTTTATCCTCACAGCAATCCTGTGTGGGTACAATAAGGAAACTCAGATCCAAGTCTCTTCTCCTTGGAGCCTTTTTCTGGTTAAAGGTCAGGAGTTTGGCCCTATCCACCAAGGCACCTCAGGCGGTAATTCACAGCCTCAAGGTCCTCAAACTTGTTTCCCATCCCCTTTCTCTCTGCCATCTGTCCTTCCCTCCTCTCCCTGCCTCTCTTTAGATATACTCTTGATCACAACCCAACCTCCTACTACATCCCACAGAAATCCTCTCAGCAGGGCTGAATGCCATATCTTTAGAAGCAGGTACCCCTCCCTAGATCATCTACCTTAGAAATAGACTGTGGGTGCTGGTCAGGGCATACCCAGTGAACTCTTCTCAGTTACTATTACCAGAAGCAGATTAAAGCTGCAACTGAGGTCATTTGCAAGGGCAAGAGGCAGGGGCTCTCTTGATCTGAGTTCTCCCACCCCTCCAGTCCTGCTCTTGGTCTATGACTGGAAGGACCTCAAGAGATGGATCATTTTGTGCCAGTTCCCTCACTCAAGGCAAAGAGTAGATCAGGTGAATTAGGTCCCTTGACAGCCATTTCTTGACTACCTGTGGTATGCCAGGCACTGCTTGGGTGCCAATCCCACAGAGATGAACCAGGACAATCCTCATCCTGAGGAATGTTAGTGGCCTAATGCTGAAGCTAGGAAATGGGAAGAGGTGTTGGGAACAGGAGAGGGCACAAAGAGAAGAGCCAAAGGGATGAACGAAAGAGTAGAAAATGAAGAGAAGACTTATAATGTGGAATGTTTAAGAATGAGCAGGGCTTTTCAAAGTTACAAAGCGGCAGGGGCAGGGCAGGGGGTGTGTGTGGAGACATTTTAGACAGAATGGAATTTGTCAAAACATCGTGTACTTGAGAGTTGCAGGTATTCTACAGGGCTAGAACATAGTTATTCAGCTGAAAGAGCAACTGAAACCTGAGGAGGCTCTAGGAAACACTAGAGACTAGATGTTTACCAAGATAATTTTTATTTTTTTAAATTAATAACTATGAAGTAATAAAAAGTAACTGAATGCTTATTCTGGACCAGACAATGTGTTACTGTATAGGAAATGTCACTTTTACTTTTTTCCAATAAAAAGTATAAGCAACTTACTATTGTCACAGTTTTACAAATGGGAACAGTGAGGCCGATAGAAATCTGCTTCCTAAAATCATGTGGACAAGGCAAGGGTTTAAACTTGGGTTATCTAACTCCAGAGTCCTCCCTAGTTCTTCAGCTCTTCTGCTCTGGTCTGCTTTGCAAAGGGAGGTATGTTTCCTTCTCCAGGGAATGGGAAAGTGTTGGAAAATTTTAAACATGAGACTGGCAGGCTCAAAAAAAAAAAAATGCAGTTTTAAAAAGATAGCTTTAAAAAGATAGCTTGGTACGGCAAAGACACCAGGCTGAATATTTAATGAGCTAGACCATTAGTGAGGATGTTAGTTAAGGCAAGGGTCAAGGACGGATAGAAAGTGATACAATTGGGAAGTACTTGAACATTTGGTGACTCATGAGTTAGTTCTGGACAAAGGACAAGAGGAAGGAACTTCTGAACAGATGAGAGGAACGAAGGTATCTTTTCCTTAAAATGGGGAATATGGAAGGGAGCAAATAACTTTGGGAACAAGATGATGTGTGTAGTTTTGGAAATAAGGTGAATTTGAAGTGCTAGGCACTTCATCCATCCTAAAAGAGCTGTCCAGTAAGCTGTTAGAAATATTGATGTAGCACTCAGAATAAGGTCCCAGTAGATGATGCCAACTTGGAAACACTTAGGAAAGGGGCAGAACATATGGAAAAGGTAAAGGGGTAGGAATGTGGAATGCAGGACATGAAGTATCTCACTTGAGGTACAGGGAGAAAAGATGGAAAATGCTAGCAAGGAGAAACCAAATATATTGATAGGGAAGAGATGAACATGAAAAACTAAGATAGGACCTGGAAAGGGATAAGGACAACCATGAGAGTGAAATCAAAGGACCAAGGAAGCAAAGGTGTGCCAATAGGGTCATATTTTACCACGTGGTTCCATACACACACACACACACACACACACACACACACACACACATTCCTACCCTAAGGCAGAATAAAAGTTTTTCACTTCTTAAGAATCCTATATTCAAAGTAGATTTTTCTTGCCACCAAACTAACTGGTCAGAAGCTTCTTAGAGAAAGATTACTTATTTACCTTCCTTTCATTGTTCTTTAACTCTCAGCTGACGGTAGAGAATGGTTTAAATACAGAAAATTATTAAATGTTAAAGCACTTTAAATTACTGGACTGGAGGTGTGGCTCTAGTGGCATAGTGCCTGCTTTACAAGTTAAATGACTATCTTGTAGCAATGGACTCACTTTATGTTGTTTTTCCAAATAGGAAGATTTCTTGAAAGACTCCTGAGTGCAAGCATTCAGTGAACAGTGTTATTCTCCAGTGGATATCAACAATGTAATTCTCTTGAGTGAGTTTTGCTTTGAGATCCACTCAGGGAGACTTCTTGGGGTTTAGAGGCACCAATGGTGAGTTAAACGAATACAGCTTGAGGGCAAAGAGAGGACACTGAAGACTGGCATGGATATCCCCCAAGCATGGACTGTCCGCTGAGCTTCTCCTGAGATGCTGTGTAAAACTGGTGCCCTACCAGCTTAATCACTACTTTGAAGTCAGGAGTACACACCCTGCCTGTATCGTAGGCATGAGTAGCGAATTAGGCAGAGACTAAGACGCATGCTCTACAACTTCTGAGAATCTGGGACAGCTATGCCGCAATTCCTCCCAGGAAACAGTGCCTACTCAATGTTGCTCTCTTCGCCAAACGTCAGAACAGGCAAAATAGCATTACGATTCCCATTCTTCACTCTCAATGTGCAAAAAATTTCAAACCTCGCGCCACAGCACGCGCCGCTCACCGAGCCTGCAAAGGCCACGGCAGCTCTGGAGTAATTGGGAGCAGGTGCCCAGCGTCTCTTAGTGACCAAGTTCACTCTCCCCACTTGGCCCTATCCGGAAGGAGTAGTGGGAGGGCAGTCCAACGCTAACATCTGAGAGCCCAACCTGGAAGGGGCACTGGGCCACAGCAGTACAAGAAGAGGTGCGATAGCAAAGATGAAAACTCAACTCTGGCATTACACAGGTAGCCCCAAGTTAGCAACCCACATTAAATCTTATGGGAAAAAACAGACTGGGATGGGGGGCAAGGTTAACACTCCTAACAATAGGCTATTCGGAGCCCCACAATAACTTGTGACTATATGTCCCTTTGAGTCCCCACCCTTCTCGCTGGAGCGGGTACAAAGCTAGAGGACGTGAGGCACAGCCCTTTCACGTGCCGGCGTAGGTGGCTCTGAAAAGAGCCGTTGGATGCGATTGGAACGTCGAGGCGAGCACGAACGCAGTTAAGCCCTCTCCCCGCGGATGCGGCGGGCCAGCTGGATGTCCTTGGGCATGATGGTCACGCGCTTGGCGTGGATGGCGCACAGGTTCGTGTCCTCGAACAGGCCCACCAGGTAGGCCTCGCTCGCCTCCTGCAGCGCCATCACGGCCGAGCTCTGGAAACGCAGGTCGGTCTTGAAGTCCTGCGCGATCTCGCGCACCAGCCGCTGGAACGGCAGCTTGCGGATCAGCAGCTCGGTCGACTTCTGGTAGCGCCGGATCTCGCGCAGGGCCACGGTGCCCGGCCGGTAGCGGTGCGGCTTCTTCACGCCACCCGTGGCCGGCGCGCTCTTACGAGCCGCCTTGGTGGCCAGCTGCTTGCGCGGGGCCTTGCCGCCGGTGGACTTGCGAGCGGTCTGCTTGGTGCGGGCCATAGCAAAACAAAACCACCTACTCAGCGGCGACGCTGTGCGAGCAGAAACAGCGCCCGTCCGCCGCAGCAGGCTTTATAGGCACCGTCTTTTCGCGATTGGGCGGAAAAAGGAATTGAAAGTCGCGCGCTGGGCGTCCATTGGCTGTGACGTCGCACGGCCCCGCGCCAATGATTGGCTCCGGATGACTCCCGCCAGCCCCGCCCCCACGAACCTCACTTCCTACTTTCCACTTCGCCTGCACTTTTCCTACCTTGTTTGCGTGTTTCTTCCTGGGTGGGAGCCATCCTGAGCTGCTGCCTAGTTTGATCAGTCTTCTTCGGCCCTTGACTACAGGTCACCAGCGAAGCAGTATTCCTACTACAAGGCGTACTTTGCAGCACAGCGTAAGGGGATGGCGGGGGTGGGGCACACACCAATCGCCGCTGCGGAGCGCTTTAATGCCCCACCGAGTTTACTGAAGCTAAGATCCAGGCCGGCAGCCTCCCTAAAAATGCGCGTCTCTGCCGGCAGAGGCGACGGCGATCCTAATTTTAACCTTCCCTTCTCCCCCGACCCCGAACCTCGTCCTCAGCATCGGGTAAAGTCATAAGCAAAGGAGTAGAACGAAGGGTCACCGGGCACTCAGCAGGCTCTGCACAGGACGTCCCCCGGGGTGCCTGTGGCGCCGAGTGTCCACCATCCAGCTGATCCGCGGTGCTGGACAGCTGCGGTGCTGGGTCGCCGACAGTCGCCCCCAACCCCAAAGCGCTTTCAGAGTTCTGCGCCCGAGGAGGAGGGAGCGAACAGACCTCACTCCCGCACCCCCGGGCTGGGTGCTTTCTACTGGGGAAGACACAAGAGCGGGAGCCGTGACAACTCTCAGTGTGAGACAGTGGGTGGCTCTGAAAAGAGCCTTTGATTTCGCTGGCGCCCTCGAGACGCGGGCTGGGCAGGAGGCGTCCACGCAGCAGCCTCACTTGCCCTTTGCCTTGTGGTGGCTCTCCGTCTTCTTAGGGAGCAGCACGGCCTGGATGTTGGGCAGAACGCCGCCCTGCGCGATGGTCACCTTCCCCAGCAGCTTGTTCAGCTCCTCGTCGTTGCGGATGGCCAGCTGCAGGTGGCGAGGGATGATGCGCGTCTTCTTGTTGTCGCGGGCCGCGTTGCCCGCCAGCTCCAGGATTTCCGCCGTCAGGTACTCCAGCACCGCCGCCATGTACACGGGCGCGCCGGCCCCCACGCGCTCCGCGTAGTTGCCCTTGCGCAGCAGGCGGTGCACGCGCCCCACCGGGAACTGAAGGCCGGCGCGCGACGAGCGCGACTTGGCCTTCGCGCGGGCCTTGCCTCCTTGCTTGCCACGGCCAGACATCACGCCGACGTTAGACACTACAAGATCCCGCTCCACCACCGGGAAATCGCCGCTGCGAGGCCCGCGCCACCCTTTTATAGGAAGACCCGGGATTGGCCACCGAGCGCTCTCATTGGCCCAAACGTACCTTCGTGCGGGTGACCAATAGGATCCCTCGGCCACCATCCGCTCATTTACATAACCTCCGTTTCCCCTCGCGCCGGCGCCGCTCAAAACTCGCGAATCACAACGCCGCGCCACCCAAACCCTAATTTGCGTGCGGCCTGTATAAGTAGCCGGTCGTTTCCCGTGCGCCCCTGTGCTCGCCTCCTACCTGTCTTTCCCGCTGCTCTTGGCCGCTTGTGTTGCCCTCGCTATGCCTGAACCGGCCAAGTCCGCTCCGGCTCCCAAGAAGGGCTCCAAGAAGGCCGTCACCAAGGCGCAGAAGAAGGACGGCAAGAAGCGCAAGCGCAGCCGCAAGGAGAGCTACTCCATCTACGTGTACAAGGTGCTGAAGCAGGTGCACCCCGACACCGGCATCTCGTCCAAGGCCATGGGCATCATGAACTCCTTCGTCAACGACATCTTCGAGCGCATCGCCGGCGAGGCGTCCCGCCTGGCGCATTACAACAAGCGCTCGACCATCACGTCCCGGGAGATCCAGACGGCCGTGCGCCTGCTGCTGCCCGGCGAGCTGGCCAAGCACGCCGTGTCCGAGGGCACCAAGGCCGTCACCAAGTACACCAGCTCCAAATGAGTCCCGCCTGCACTTGGCACCCTAAAGGCTCTTTTCAGAGCCACCCACCTTCTCAGTGAAGATGCTGTCCTTCCTTAGTCCCACCAATATGTAATAGCTGCTGTTTTCCAGATTACGTACTTTTTATCTTTCTATCTGGCTTTTGTTTTTCTTTTCTGTTGGATTGGGGTTTGAACTTAGTTTCGTAGTTCCAAACTAGGTGCTTTGCTGCTTAAGCCACACTTGCAGTCCACATTTGGCCTCTTTATTGTTCTTGTTTATTTTTCGAGATAGGGTCTTGGTGTTTAATCCATGCTGGCTCTCAAATCCCTAGAGTGCTGAGGAGGGCATATGCAGTTTTTTAAGGGTGGCAGATAGGAATCAAGCTGAAACCAGTATCTTAGCATAAGGTATTTTAAATACAATGCACAGCCTGTTTGAAAGGTATTGTACTCGCGTGCGGATGTATAAATCTCAGAATGGGTCAAATGGTTGGCAGTGCTTTAACGCAGTTAGATTGGGATTCTCGTGGAAAATCTGCGTTTTAGTTGAGGTCTGGCTACTGTGACGGTATTGACCACACTCTAGTACTTGTATATTTTTCTTGGGTACTTTGACTGTGTGGTTGAAGCAATTTTTAACACACCACTTTTTTGAAATTTGGCATTTTAGGTACACGAGATCAACATGTAGTTACTGCTGTTATTTAAGACAATAAGTACTGTCAGAATAATACATAGCCTGTTACGGTGTGGATACCTGCACAATTACCTAAAAGTTGTAGTTTGGTACTTATAGTCATCTGGATAAGGATAGGAATAGGAAGTATTTCCAAGAACCCAGATCTGAATACTAAAAGAAAGTTCTCCAGGGAGGACAAGTAGCTTCTCATTATCACAAGGTGGCCTTGGTTTTTGGACTGGAGGTGTGGTTCAAGTGGAATAGCCCTGCTTTGCAAGCAAGAACCCTTGAGCTCAAACCTCAGTCCACCAAAAAAAAAAAAAAAAAAAGAAAAGTCCTTGTGCTGGGGATGCAGCTTAGTGGATGGAGTGTGTGCCTAGTACACATGAAGTCTTGGGTTCTATCCCAAGCTCCACCAACCCCTGCCCCCTCAAGTACTTGTTTCTTTCCTGTAACAACTCATTCTCTTCAACAAAAATAAGAGGCACTGGAGATTAGATTTTTTTTTTTTAAAGGCCCTCTTCATTTTGAGAATATACCTTAAAAAGTAGTGTTTCCTGAGTAGTGGGAGTCCTCCCTCCTCTGCGTGGTTCAGAGCCTCACCACCTTCTATTTACCCGGGCCAGGAGCTGTCAGGAGTCAGCAGTCCAAACAGCTTTCCCAACAGAACTGAAGCAGAGCATGCCATGACACAGCAGGAAGGTTTTCAATTGGTGTCATGTTATTGGGCTTCCCAACCTCCAAAACTGTAATTTATTTCCAAAAAACAAAAGCCATGAAAAATACCAGTGATTACTAACACATTTCAAAGGGCATCAGAAGCTGGATTTCTTGACACACACAAACATGCTCACACACACATAAGTGATACATTACATATTCCTTAAACACCACGTAGTTCCCCTGAACCCAAGTCACTGGGGACTTGAAGCCAAGATGAACAGCCCACGGAACACATTGGGTGATTCATATGTTTGATTACCACTGGTATATTTAGCTAAGTAATTGCTCTATTCCATAGTGAGAACCTGCTTATACTTTACAGTCAACACCCCAGATTTGCACCACTACCCCCCCTTTCATCTTTCTGCAGAGTTGTTTGTAACCCTAAATATAAAATCAGGTTCCTCTAATCCCTTATTAATTCAAGGCACCACATATAAGTGCCCTATGTATCTCTTACATATCTACATAAAAACATAAATATCTTCCAATGTGACACACTTCCTGTCTGTCCCACCTAATTAAAACCAGATAACTTATTTCCTAATTATTGTGCAAAACCCACCTTATTTTATTGCAAAAAAGAAGAAAAAAAAAAGGCTTCCCTGACTTTGTGCATTTCTCGTGTGGGTGTCATGAGCAATGAGGCAAATTGCTGGCACCCGAAGTTATCAATTAAATCATGGACATGGGAGTGGGGAGGAAAGACAATGGAAGAGTTTGAGTTGACCGGGTAGGTGTATAACTTTAAGAGGGACCCATAGGATTTTAATTAAAAACAAAACCCTAATTATGCATAGAGGAGACTGGCTAACATTTGGCTTTGGGGACACAACATGGATAGGAAAGAAAAAAACAGATCATCTTGAAAAAGAGGGAAAGACTAACTCCATGTAATCATATTATCCATTACTACTAGTTTCCTTTTCTCACTAACATTCATACTTACAGGCATGAAAGCAAAACTTACATGCTATTTGGGCTGCACTATGAGTATTTTGTGCAGATCATTTCCCACAGTAGGGGAAAGAACACTGCTCACTGCTGTAAAATATGCTGAGGATACAGCAGTAGAGCAGAACAAGTCCCTGCCATAGAGCTACATTGTAGTTGGTGGATGAGTGTATACTAATCAGAGAGGGGTATGTGCTAGGAAGTAGAGCATATGAAGTAGAGTGGGATGACAGCTTTGAGAAGAGACCTGATTGAGATAGTGAGCTGTAAGGATATCTTAGGGAAGAGTATTCTAAGAACAGAAAACAGCAAGCACAAAGGCCCTACCTAAGGCAGGCACAAGGTGAGTTCAGAAACAAGCAAGGGTTAGGGGTGGGGTACTGTCACTGTGGCTGAAGTACAGTGAACAGGGAGAGATTTGTAGGAAATGAGATCTGAGAGTTGTAGGAAACTGGGGCTCAGATTACCTGGCCATTGAGGAGCCCCATAGTATACTGCACAGATTTTGTCTTTCATTCAAACTGAGACAGAGTGCTTTTGGACTGGAATAATAACGTGACTTATGTTTAAAAAAAAACCTCAAGGTTATGTTGAAAAATGGACCATAGAAGAGTAAACATAGAGGCAGGGAGAATATTGAAGGGGCTGCAGTAAAAGTCCAGGAGAGAACCC